TCTTTTAATGTGTCAAGTACAAAAGTTTGTACTTTGTTTGGAAAGTGGATGTATCAGTATGCTATACCATATAGAAATGTAAGTGACTGTCCTAACTCCTCTCTTGAAATGAATTAAAAATGCTAATGGACTTACTCTCACAGCATTCCCCATGTGGAAAACCGCTCGTTTTCCTCCAACTCCGAAAAAGGAAATGTCACTGTTGAGACTGCGAGGCACATGAGCAGGATGAACATATCCCTCTGCTTCACTAAATTCCACCACAAATTAGATTAAATAAGAAAGAAGTAATATATCAGGGTTCTTCTTAAACAGACTGGTGAAAAGTTTTTTTTTCTGAATATTTTTCAAAACAACAACTAAAAAAATACAACCTTTCAAATGTGCTATTTTCCCTTGTGAACTTAGAGAGTCTGTAAACAGCCCAGTTATTGAGCTGCTTGGAGGTCATCCCGCATCCATTGTCCAACACAACGACAGTAAATGTTTTGTCAAATAGCTGTCCAGAATGGAAAGGAAAAACACTACAAGTTATGCAAAATTATTAAAACAGAATTCAGGGGTTTCTACTTTGGTTAATACTCAATTTATTGTGCAAAGCATAATCAATTGTGTTCATGAACATGTTCAAGTTTTCATTCATACAAAATTTCTACACATTTTGTCTTAATATAATCACAAACTGTTGAGTGTTTTATTGGGAATTTTGGTGATAATACAAAGTAATTCATAATTGTACAGAGGAAGGAAAATTAATATTCAAAATTTTTGCCAATAAATGTTAAAAGTCATGTTGCTACTATGTACTTCCTCCTCTTTAATCTGGCATTCCTAAATTATGTCAAAAACGTATGCTGTAAACATCAAGTTGATACTAAAATTTTCAAAAGTAAGAAGCAGAACCAACCAGCCTTATCTCTATACTCCTGACTCCAGTGATTTTTGCTGTGGCTGAAAGAGCATTGTCCACCAGCTGAGCAAGAGCGCAGGCTGAAAAAAATGACACAAAGACACCAAAAGCTTAAGGTAATAAGCTGCATTTCTGTTCCCAAATTATGAGCATCACTTTGATTACATTAATACCCACACAATGACTTTTGGCCCTCGATAAAGTACTCATCTGTCCCACTTTCAGTCATTGTGCTGTAGTGAGGAATGAAGTTAATCTCTTCCTCGATTGAAGCTGGCAGGACTTGGTTTGTTTTTCGTAGCAGATAGAGGGTGGTGCCATCTTTCAGTTTATCTGAAATGAGTGAAAGAATAATATTCTATGTTCTCCGTTTCAGAGTTTTCCTCTGTTTCATAAACATGAACAGGTTTACTTACCAAATTTATCAGCATCCACTATTATTCTGTCAGTTGTTGTCAACACAAATGTCTCATTTGAAGGGACATAAAACTTCTGTGGGGACAAAAAACAATGACATATTATCTGGTTAAAGAATTTTTGAGATCAGACACTGATGTGGGATGAAAACTCCTGGCCATTTATTTGGGTTGAGATCAGAGGTGCTCACTCATGTTGGAACATTAACATGATAAGAAGTCCTGATTTACTATTTAAATGCATGGAAAATACTTTCATAACACTTTATTTGAAGGGGTGTGCTTAAATCTGACATGACACTGTCATAAACATGACATAACACCTGTCATGAACATAAAGAAATCTTTATGAATGTTAGTTGTCATGAAGTGTCATTCGGTAAATAATGACACTTTTAATGCAAAGTTGCTGTAAAAGTTGTATTAAAAGTCCATTAAAAGTGCGAAATTAGCATGATTTTGTAAATTATGATAATTTAATGCAAAGTTGGCATTTTTAATGGACTTTCAATGCAACTTTTAGAGCATTATTTAGCGAATGACACTTCGTGACAACAGTCATAAACATTCATAAAGACTTTATGTTCATGACAGAAGTCATATAATGTTTTTAACAGTGTCATGTCAGTCTTATGCACACCCCTTCAAATAAAGTGTTACCAATACTTTTTGTAATTCATGAAGAGCTATTATTACCTTTTGAACAATTTGCACAAAGCCTTTAAAGTCCAAACCGCTGGTTTTCAAAGTTTTTCTGACGATCTTTTCAAAGCGGCAGTCGTTCACTTGGATCATCTTGTCTTCTTACTGCATTGAGACTGCAAGAGCGGTAAAACTGTAGCGTTTAGAGATTGGCTTTAATGCAAAGTTGAAGAAAACATAAAAACTTATTTATTCTCAACTCTGTTCCGAAGCATTATTGATCAAATTTCAATGGAACTAGTTTTCTATCTAGTTTTGAGCATAGAGTCTCTCCATTATGAAATGCCCATTTCCTGATTCAGAGATTGTGGTTAAAGCTCATCAGCCGTTGGGATCCACCCACTAAACACAGAAACTCCTACTGTAACTGAGAGACACCCACCTGGATTGTGCAGAGAGTTCTTCTTTCTGCTGTCTGTAGGTTCCGCCTTTTTTCTGTGCTTCCTAATAACATGGAGCTTCAGCTGACTGCAATGACTTTGGCTCATACAAGATATAGAAAGGAGATCACCGCTGGTTAAATATCAGTGGGAACCATGTTTGTTCAGTTAATACAGGGAAATGACAAACTTGAAAACAAGAAAATTCTAACTTGTCTGACAAAATTATCACTTCCCATTTTGCATCTTACTTTTTCTTTTTGTTAATAATAAAGCAATGGCCCAAATGTATGGTGCCCAGAAAGGACCTTATTTATTATATAAATGAAATG